ATTCTTACAAAGTGTGATCCCTCACTGGTTTATGTGTTTTATGCATCGATAAACCTTTGATCATGCATAGTTTCCTTTGATCTACCTTGTACGAATTCTCTTGAGCATTTCTAAATCTTGTTATTCAAATTCCAGAGATATGTAGATCCTCTTAGAAGTGTATTTGGTCATTTAGAGTGGGAACTTTTGCATGAAAAGTTGTTGTGGTGGACCACCACAAGTAGGTTTGCTCTATCTTGCTCTATATTGATCCGATTTGCTCCATTCTTCTTGCAAACCTTCTTAAATCTATTTTGTGGACTCTAAGAAGTAGTTTTAAAAGTGAAAGAGCTTCCTAATTGGACTAGACACCCCTGAGATTATAAGCCACTCTTGCACTATTCATTGGGACAAAATTAAGTTCCTAAAAGGCTCGAATTTGTTGCCCGAGCACAAGGGCATGACTTCCTACATGTTTGTATGCATGTTTATTTACTGTATTTACAGTTATTAAATTATTCATGGTTGAAGAATTTGTGTATGTTAAGTGAAAAATAGAATTGTGCTTTTAATATTGTAGTATGAGCTTTATTGCTATGTTTTATTGTTTATGTGAATTGAAATCTCATTGGATTATTATAATCAAGTGTATGATGTGTATAAGATATTGTGATATATGATGAGGATGAAGAATGAAGATGAATTTTTTGTGTAATTTTGATAAAATGAAGAATTTTAAGTGCAAGTCATGTAATATGTCGTCTAGATGTATATTTTTAATATTTGGACATTGTATCGAGTTTAATTGTATTTTTGAGTTAGGTATTTGTAAGGGACCTATTAGGGTTGAATTTTTATTATTCAAATGTGTATAAACGAAGCTTGTAGGCTGGATTATGGTTTTCTATTGAGATATTCATGTATTTAAGCCTTTGAGTTTTAATACAATGAATTTTTTTTAAAGATTGTGTACCTAGCCACTTGGTCTTATACCACCAACAATCCTAAGATCCCTAAATGTGGCATGGACGTTGCTACCACCCTCTAAGTGTTTTGCCACAATATTTTGGCATCATGCTACTGCTGCACTTTTGGCTTTCAAAGTCAAGAAGATGATTTTCCACTGAAGTGTTTAAAGGGAACATCTTCCCCTATTATCACATTAGTGGGGTTTTTTCTTCCTGCTATGCCAGTTGCACGGGGTTTGATTAATTTGGAATCTTTTAATAATTTCTTATTGCACACATACCTTTGGTTCTCCATAACCTGTTGGAAATCTTGTAGTCCGTCATGAACTGGAGATAATTTTTCAGCACCACTGTAATTGTTTTTGATGGAATTGAGGTTTTGGTTGGAGGACCTACTAAACTTCTTAAAATTTGTCTTCCTGGAATGACTTTCAGGTTGTTTGAGGAAGTTTAAACCCTTTGGATTTCTTCTTTAAGTTCGTTCAAAAGTTTATATCCTTTGGATTTCTTCTTTAGGTTTGTTCAAAAGTCCAGGAACATTACTATTTGGTAAAGCGCAAATCCTGCTATTCAAAATTGGGTCGTAACAGAATGCGTTGATAATCCATAAGTTTTGTAGCCTGCCATTTGGTTGTGCTCACTGTTTGTTGTTACCTTGGCTTTCCTTTTGCTTCATGCTGGTTGTATGCAAAAGCCTGCATCCTTAGACTCATAAAGCATTCCAAAGATTTCCTGTTAATTGACTTAGTTTCTGTCTCTCTCACTTGAGTGACTGAGAATAACCGGATAGTGGAATGTACTGCTGTTTGCTAACTTTGTTCCTGGGTTAGTCAACTTAATCTTTGTACCTTGCAGAAGCTCTTGCTAGAATTTCCAGCAATAAATGCTTAGGTTCAGGAATAATTAATAGGGAGAAAACATGAATTTATCTTTCATCTACTATTAGAAATCTTTCTTACGTTTTGAAAGTTGGACAGGGTCAACTAGCACAGTATATGCGGTTTTTAATTTTTCTCTTTTCTACTGGCTAGAACACTTACAAAGGTCCAAATACAACAAAATAAACTCAAAATAAATAAATATAAATAATAAAACAGGTTCTTACTTACTGCACTAAACTGCACAATATAAAAATAAACTGCCAAAATATTACCTCAACTGGACTTGATACACCGCACTCTAGGTCTCCGCTTCCGATGGCGCACGTGATCATCTCAGATCTTATAAGTATGGGAAGCCTAGGCTAACCCTTCAATCACAGAGAGCAATGGTGGAACTAAAAGCAAGCCTCAAGGCTAATTGTATTGGGCATGCCCCCTTTTTCTTTCACAAAATTTTTTCTAAGCCTTTGAGGGGCTTGGAGAGATGAGAGAGATCCAAGAGAGAGAGGGGTCGTGTGGCTCTTAGAGGGGGAGAGAGAGAGATGTAACCTTAGGCATATAGAATATGACCCCCCATAGAGGCTATTTATAGAATCATGGTTAGGGTTAGGGTTTCTAGGGTTACCCATCCATATGGAGAATAGATCCAAGCCATTGGTCATAGGTGACCTGCAGGGTGAGAGATCTTAGCCTTACAGTTCTTAGTTTAACCATCATGGTCTAAAGGAAGGTGCAAGAACCTTATCTTTCAGGTTCTTTAACCTAATTCCATCAAATATTCCATATGTAAAAACTATATTGCAGATACCTTTAATTTCCATATTTTCTCTTACACATGCTTATTTGAAAATTAAAATCTCTTTCCAATTGCAAAACCTTCCTCTTTTGTTCACCTTAATTAAATGCCATCTTGCGTGGTCTTCAAAATAGGAAGGTGGAGTGGGGCACGCCACTTATGAAGCCCTAAGTGGGCCCCACGTAGCCCCTCCACATCCAATATTATGGTGGGACCCATGGACAGTAATGGCCCCCCCTATGTATTATCGTTTATAAAATCAAGAAAATGATTTTTAGAAAATGATTGCATGATTTTTAGAAAATGATTGCTATTTTATTTTCTCTCTGATTTATTAAATACTAAAAATTCAGTTTTAGCCTTTTTATAAAGAGAAAAGTTTATATAAAGCTGAGGCTCTAAACAATCAAATTCGAGCCTACCTCAAAAATTTCATTAGAAGATGTTGTTTTGATGCCCAAATATCCTCAAATTGATCATCTCGACATCAAGATGCTTGGACATGAGAGAAAAATAGATTTCAACTTTTGAATATAGTTATTTTGTAACACATTTTTGGACCGTCAATTTTCAAAATTTTCAAGTTTTCATAGATCTCTCGATGTACACTATTTTTTGAGCTTTAAACTTTATAAATAAAGATGAAAATATATTTTAAGGCTATCAAAAAGATTTTCAGTATTGAAACCACATTTCTCGACACTATTTGAAGGTAGGCTCTAATTTGATTGTTTACAGCCTAGGCTCTATACAAACCGTACCCTTTTATAAATCTATTTTGAGAAATTTTAATTTCCCAAAGACTTTTAAAAATGCATTTTATTAATTTAAAAATCATTTAAGGAAAAAGAGTGAAACTACTAAAGCACTCCATCTTCTACTAGGGACTATAATCGACACCCATTTTCTCAAACTGACCCAGTAGTTCCTATCACGTCCATCACAGGGGTTCATGACTGGGCTACCAAAGTCAGCTAATAGGTGAGGGGTCATAATCCTAATCTATGGATTACGGGTTCCGCTTAGGGACAAGTCTTAGGTCACACAGACTTGTGCACACACTTCGCATGCGATGCATACGGGGGTTATCTCTCGCACATGTGCTTTCATCACCCTCAATGGTGCTTTGCTTACCAATACGGCTATCATGTGTACATGCCGTGTGATGGTATAAGATGAGGCTTTGGCTCTCGTCCCTTCAGGGCCCACCAATCACACTGATGGTATAAGATGAGGCTTCGGCCCTCATCCCTTCAAGCCCACCAATCACACACAAGGGTTACAGACCTCATTAAAGGATAACCCTGCTAACTCTTCTCAATTGTGCTCTATGCTCAGGTGTTTAGGGTTTTGGTACTCGACTGGCCTAGCTTGTCAAGCCTAGGCTGAGTCTCGGCAAACAATATTGCCAACCTCGGTCCTTCTGGACCGTACTCCCATTGGAGTTCTTTGTTCCACTATATCAAAATTACATGCTCTCAGAAGACCTTTAATGACCACAAAAACCCAACAAGTTTTGGGATAGGTTGAAATCTCATATTATCTGAATCTAGTGCTAGACCCCGCCAACTCTATCAGCAAGTAAAACCAGCCATTAATTCATGTATTTAATTGGTCTCTTGTCAATTAAGTGTAGCTGGTTGCTCATAATTATCACATTCGAAACATGTGTTTTGAATAATTAATTACTATGAATTTTCTATTTTAGAGGGCTTCGAATTATGAGTAGGACAATATCAATATTTGCTCCTATTTTTTTGCCACATCATTCTTTTTCTTTTTATTTCCAACCAAAACATAGGTGGAAATATGAAGAACTTTAGTGACAAGAATGTCACCCATGTTTGCTTTTAACAATATGGCATGAAGAGATGTTATTTTACTATGGGGATGTATATATTTCTTGCCCCCAAATATGTACCATCAGATGTCGAATTCACTGTTTAGAGTTTAAATAGCCATATCACATATAATTTGTTTAATATAAAAATAGCTCTCTCTCTCTCTCTCTCTCCTCCCCCGCCCCCCACGACCACCACATACATAGATCTACATATATGTATCTACATATATGTATGCGATGTCATAGGAAGCAAGTCAAGTCGAGGTTGCTTGGTTGGGCGGGCCCAATAAGATGCCTAGTCGATTTGGAGTTTTGAATTTATGAAGCGTGTGATAGTATGATCCTTCTGAGAACCATTGGGGACTGAATATTAAGAATGTTGTGATTTCCCCAATGAATGGTTTTCCAATGGATTCTTGTCTTATATTTTATATTTACTTATCACTTATGCTGCTCCAGTCATAGAGCTCCTTTTTTTCTGGTTATGCTACTAACTATTTCTTGTATTTGTTTCCCTTTTTCTTAATGCATAGGCGTGGATATGCTGCTGAGAGGCAGCGGGGCCTACTTCTTGTTGAAAAATTGGACTATCTTCAGTCAAAATTTCTGCAAGAGCTCTTCCGCAACTTGTCAAAACCTCTGAAAAAAGTTGGCATCTGGATAAATGAGGTTGGTTGAATGTTTACGGCAGGGGTGAACTTTCCTATATTATAAATTTATACTTATACTTAAATGCATTTGGTATTACATGTATAGCATAGAAATAAATGGGCTGTTGTGGCCATTTATTGGGATGTAAATTAGTTAAAAGCCATAAGTTTTTATGAAGCAGTTCTTCTAATGACGTGCAAAATGTGTCAAGTGGAGCAAGCGAAAATTATTAATTATCGGAGCAGCAGGTTCCTTCTAATATGTGCAATTATTTGGAGGGTGCGAACCCCAGGCGAGCTACTAAGAAGAATACGAAGAACAATATCTGATCTGGACGTTTTTCAGCTTATTTTGGGATTTTTTCAGTGAATTTCCTGTTTATTTTAAATTTCTAATTGAGTGTGTGACCTTCAATTATTTTACTTCAAATTTAATTTTAAGTTACTTTTAAGTTTTTTTTTTTTGTGAATTAAGTTATTTTAAGTTAGGACTGTGTGAGTCAAGTTTTCTTTTAGTTAGGGGCATTACTGACTTTTGTAATTAAAGTTCTCTATGGGATCATTCCACGAAGAAAAAAAAGAGAGAGAAAAGCTCTAACTTGGAACCCTAATTTGGGTTTGAAGAAGAAACTATAGGTTTCTTCAGATTTGTGTGTGTGTTTGCCCTTGGTACTGTTATCTGTTTTCCTCCTCAAAAAATCTATCACAATTGGTAGCAAAACACATGATTCTTGAGCAGCAAGGGCAGAAATCTTTGGTCAAGTCTAGGGTTGACTGAATTTAGAGCAGGGTTTATTGATTTCAGCCAAGAATTTACTGATTTCTGCCCAGTGTGTTTTGATTTCCGCCATAGAACTTGCTGAATTCAGCCTAGGGTTTGTGATTTCAGCGAATCTATGATAGTAGGAATGGATCATGGAAGGGGAGCTCTCATTGACCTAGCCCATGATGCCAGAGATTATGAGATTGAGGATCTCATGAGGTAGGTTCAGAAGCTTGCACAAGAATTTGCGGACTTCAATCATGGGCAAGCCGATGATCTTTCCACCCAAGAAGATGTCGAGTACAACTCTCTTTGCCGTTGTGCAAAGTGACAGAAGAATTACTCTAGGGATTCCAATTTGCAGTTGGATATTTTTTATTTTGACGGTAAGACTGAACCATAATTGTTTATTTATTGGTTGAATATTGTAGAATGGGTTTTGACTACAAAGAAGTACCCGATAATAAAAAGGTGAAAATTATTGCCACAAATTAAACAAGGGTTCCTTGGCATGGTGGCAACAACTTAGGGTTAGAAGTGAAAGAATTGAAAAGCCAAAAGTCACTTCTTGGGAGAAGATGAAGAGTAAATTGAAGGAAAAGCACCTATCTGAAAATTATTTGCGGCCCCTTTATTTAAAGATGATAACATCCGTTAAGGTGAGGGGAATGTGGATGAATACATTTCATCAGTTAATGGCCCAAACTGATGCGGTTGAAAGACAGGAGAAATCCATAGCTCGTTATGTAAAGGGGCTGAAAACATCCATACAAGACGTGGTCGTGTTACAACGTTATTAGACATTGGATAAAGTGGACGACCTTATTATTAGGATAGAAGCTCAACAGAAGCGACCTCATCAAGGTGGGAAGCAGCCCAGGGTGGTACATGCAGCTGTGGTGGAAATTTTAGACGAAAAGGTGACAATATCGTTGGGTTTTTGTGGCCATTAAAGGCCTTACGAGAGCATGTAATCAATTTTTGATATAGTGGAACAAAGAACTCCTGTGGGAGTATGGTCCAGAGGGACCGAGATTGACAAATGTTGTTTACCGAGACTTTGAATAGGCTTAATGAGCTAGGTTAGTCGAGTTACAAAATCCTAAATACCTGGGCATAGATCACAACAGATGAGGGTTAGCAAGGTTATCCCTTCATGAGGTCGGAGTTGCCCAGGGTAGTGAGCTAAGGGACTATGTGACCCTTGTGTGTGATTGGTGGGTCTATAGGGACGAGGGCCAACGCCTCTCCTTAAACCTTCATACGACATGTACACATGATAGGCATATCGGGAAGCAAGTCACCATTGAGGTTGATACATGTACATGCGCAAGAGATAACTCCTATATGCATCATATGAGTTGCCTGTGCACTGGTATGTGTGACCTTGGACTTATCTTTAGAGAGGAACATGTAATCCATAGATTAGAATTATGTCCCCTCACCTATTGCCTGATATTGGTGGCTAGTTATGAACCCCTGTGAAGGAATGTGGGTCAGGGGAACTACTAGGTCAGTTTGAGAAAGTGGGTGTGGATTATAATCTCTAGTAGAAGATGGAGTGCTTCAGTAATTTTGAATTCCTTAACATAGTTGGATCCCATTCCTATCAAATTAACTTAGAATTAATTAATTTGACCTGAAATTATTTTTAGATTAGTAGAATGAACTTTTAGAAATATCTGGGTATTTTATTTTCTAAAAAATGGACTTCTATATAGTCGAGAACTTAATTTTCAGTATTTAATAAATTAGAGAGAAAAATAAAATACTAATCATTTTTTAAAAATCATTTTCCTCATTTGAAAAATAATAAAACACATGGGGGTCCATTATGGTCCATGGGCCACCCCATAAAATTGCATGTGGGAGGTGCATGGGGCTCACTTATGGCCTCATGAGAGGCACGCCCCACTTAAAGGAGTCACTTTCTTATTTTGCGGTAGGCTATCATGGCATTTAATCAATTTGAAACAAATCAGGAAGGTTTTGCATTTTAGGAGATTTGAATTTTTAAATAAAGCATGTGTAAGAGATTTATGAAAAAGAAAGGAAAAAGAAATATATTTTTTATATTATGTATATTTGATGGGATTAGGTTAAGAAAGTTGAAGGATAACATTCTAGTACCTTCCTTTCTATCATGATGGCTGATCTAAGGATTGTAAGGCTAAAATCTCTCACCCCACATGTCTCTTATGATCAATGGTCTTGATTTATTCTCCATAAGGATGACTAACCCTCGAAAACCCTAACCCTGAGGCTTGCTCTATAAATACTCTTTATAGGGTACCAAAATCTCTACACCTTGAATTACCTCTCTCTCTCTCCCTCACAAAGATACATGTCTCTCTCCCTCTCTGATCTGATATCTCTTATTTCTCCAAGCCTCTCAAGAGACTTAGAAAATATTTTGTGATAGAAAAATAGGGGGCACACTGCAACCCTAGTGCAAAGAGAGGGGTATGCCCCATATTGTAGGTATTGGGGCCTAGTTTTGTGTTCCACTATTGCTCTCTGATTAAATGGTTGATAGCCTAGGTTTCCCATACTTTTAAGATTTGAGATAGACCATTATCTCGTGCGCCATCGGAGCAAGAGACCTGGAGTGGGGTATACCATGTCCAATTGAGGTCATCTTCTGACAAGTTTAATTTTATGTTATGCATTTTATGTTTATTGTTCCCAAGAGTCTTATGTAATTTTATTTATTGAATGAAAAAGTTTTATTTAGTGGCAGCAAGTGAGAACCTCTTTTGTTGTTTTTCATCATTTATTTTGAGATTTATTTGTTGTATTTGGATTTGTGTAAATGTTCTAGCCGGTAGAAAAGTTAAAAATTAAAAAACCATATATACCATGCCAATTCACCCTGTCCAACTTTCAAATACAGTGGCTGGTTGGGGTTTCGACTTGCTGGTCCATCGAAACAGCAAACAGAATGGGTGACGGGGCAAAGGTCTAGTTTCCCTAATTGACCAAACAACAATGTTATCAAGTGCTATAGGTGTTCAGGAATTGGACGTGTCTCTTCTCGACACAAAAGGAAGTTTGTCACCCTTTTTAAGGAAGTTCTCGAAGAGGACCGGGCAGTCACTCAATGAAGACCCTGTTTATGATGAGGTGCCTGAAGAAGATGAACCTGAGGTTCATTTAGTGACCATGAGAAAGTTTTGGTGATTCGCACAGTATGATGACACCTTGGCTAGGGGAAGAAAAATATTGGTTGCACACGAAGATTTTCCACACATGATGCACTGTGTAAGGGAAGGTTTATAATCTCAATATTGTGTCTCAAGGGATGGTAGACAAGTTGAAGTTGAAGAGGGAAAACCATCCAAAGCCATGCAAGATAGCTCCGTTCAAGATGGGTAAAGAGATAACAATTTATAAATGCTGTCGAGTTTCTTTTTCAATTGGGAAGCATTATAAAAATGACATATGGGATGATGTGCCCTTGGATGCTTGTCATTTATTCTTTGGAAGACCGTGGCGGTTTAACAAGTGCACCCTACATGTGGGTTTAAAAGATTTACTCTTTTGTTCAAGATGGGGTTAAAGTGGTTTTATGTCCATCTAAGAAGGAAAGTGCATCCAAATCAGATGAAGGTTGTACTAATCGTTTTTTGTTGGACTTTATGGAGGAGATGGACAAGTCCAGGATGTTGTATCTAATGGTCTGATTGCAGGAGCAGCCTACTAGTTTAGTTCCACCACAGATAGAGCCATTAATGAGAGACTATCGTGATGCATCCCATATGAGCTTCCTTAAGGAGTACCGCCTATGCGAAACATCCAGTATCACATAGACCTTGTTCATGGCCGAGCTTTCCGAACAAGGCAACGTATAGGATGAGCCTAAAAGAATATGAAGAGTTACAAAGACAGGTTACAACGCTTTTGCAGAAGAGGTTCATTTGAGTGACAAGGAATCCACATGTTGTCCCGACTCTATTGACACCATAAAAGGATGGAACTTGATGTATGTGTGTGGACAATAGGGCCCATTAATAATATTACAATTAAATATGTCTTCCCAATTCTTCGTCTGGATATATGCTGGATATATTTGCTGCTGCTATGATTTTTTTGAAGATATATTTGCGGTATGGGTACCATCATATGTGAAAGACAGTGTTCAAGACACGGGAAGACCTTTTTGAGTGGTTGGTGATGCCATTTGGCCTCTTTAATGTTCTCAGTTCCTTTATGAGAGTGATGAATCAGGTATTTAAGCCTTTTTTGTGGAAAGTTTG